TGGCAGCAGAAGTAATTGCAAAAAGGTTACGGGCTGGCTAACAACCTGTAAAAGAATTTGCTGATATGCTAAAAGACTCTGAGTAACTATTATGGCAACACATCATTGTAATGAAAGAAGACAGCTTCCTTTCTCGCAGCTTTCATGTGTGGAACTTCAGGCTCTGTCAGTTAGGTACCTAGTTTCTGTAAAGATGAGGACTCAAATCAATGATAAATAACTGCTGCCAAGTTTCTCATAGATTGCCAGTGAACTCTTTGTGTTCCATTCTGTGACAGATTTGCACAGAAGTGCTTCCTGTATATTTAGTCACTTGAATTTGGGAAAGACAGGGCAGTTGGAACTCAAGTTATTTGCTTAACAGGCTTCTTCATTTAATTTCTGAAAGGATGACTGAACCTGCACAGACTAGATGAAGCAACTAAACATTGCTGCTTCTGCGGAAGCATTTTTTGACAAAGTCATTTTGTTTGTGCATAATTTTCTATGGTGTCACGGCTGTGCTAATGTGTTGTAGGATGGTTAAAATGGAAGTTCTGCATTGTTATTGGGTGAAGGGGTTTTAGAAGACTGTCAAACCCATTTACCTTAGGGGATACAGTAATGAAAGTTTCTGGGCTGGCTGGTCTATCTCAGTGATACTGTTCATATTTTTCTTTCTATGTTGGTGAGAAGCATTGCCAAGTCCAGTATTTTAGTTGTCTCTGAGCTGAAGATCTACCACAAACTCTGCAGGATGATTGTCAGTTGTATGTGGGTACAACACACCGTATGCCTGCCTTTTTGCTGACACTTAATGTTTTTGTGTCAATTTAGAGTTTTTTAGCTAGTTTGTTTGTTGTTTTTTTTTTAATTTCATAATTGCTGCATAGATGCATCACTTTTAATTTTCTCAGTTTCTAGCAGGTATGTAAGACATCTTTATGTAACGGTGTATTGATAGTATAGAGCAGCACAGTGTTTCTGAACGTGTTAATTTGTTAACTACTGTCTTTCTTCTAGATTCAGCCTAGCAGAACATCAATAGAAAAGGATCTGACACAGGAGGAGAACAGTTGGATGCAGAAACCTGACAATCTGGAATCACATGATGAGTTCTGAAGGCAGAAAGGGCATTTAGTGGTCCTGATTCAGGAGTCAGATGATTCTTTATGTCTTAGTGATTATAAGCTTTTACAAGATGGAGTAAGACAGTGCAAGTAAGACAGGTAGGATTATTCAGAAACTTTGTAAGCTCATAGAAGATAATTTATTGTGGAAACAGATATTTTTATTGTTACAGGGACAGTAACTCTCTTGCACTGGATGAGAACTGTAAAAATAGCACCTAATAAATGCTGTATGTTTTAGGGTGATGGACACTTCTAATACAATGATTTAACCTAAGTTGCGATCTGCAATAGATTTTTAGGCTTGCTCCTTTTCTGTAGAGGGTATTTTCTTTACAATACAATATTTACTGTGCTGTAACCACTTAATAATTGATTTCCAGATTTTGAGTTTAAATGAAGTTATTTAAAAAATTAATTATTAGATACAGCTAGTTAGCTTGTTTTAAAATTTTATGTGACTTTTAAATGTAAGCTAATTACCTTTTGGGAAACACATGTGGCAACAAGTCACATGAAAACAAAATCTTTGGAGTGTGTAATTTCTCCTTTGGTAGTAGATCCCGTCATGCCTTATTGATAACTGTTTGTAGGATTTTCCATTTCTAATTTTTCCACATTGAGATACATTTATCGAAACACACTTTCCTCTTTTTTTTTTTTTTTTAATTCTTCTTTCATAAAACAGTTGAGCAATTTGCCTATTGCATTTCTCCTTCTCATTTAAAAAGGTAAAATAAAACCACATTGATACTAGTCCCTGGCTCGGAGTTAACCAGGATCCCACAATTTCTGAAAGTTGAGAAATGCTTTAGCATAGGCATGCAGATCATAGTTCATGAAGCATTTGTTGGCAAAGAGCTAACGATCATGGGACTAACCGCGATTGTTTTCTGTTGTCATACTGATTTTAGAAAGCTAAAGCCGTATTTAAGTACTTCCCTGATACCATCGTGCCACATAATTGCTGCACTTACTACAGAGGTGATGGGAATTATAGATGGGGAATTTCGGTGGAACAAGTTCTTTCTTATGGCGTAATCTGTGCTACCAAAATTGTAAATCTCTTCGATTTATAGCAATTGGTCTGCAAGATTTCTATTTTGCTAGAGGTGCTTAGACCTTAATGTATCCTATGCACTTGAGAGTGGAGATAGAATAGGAAAGATCATGTACATTTAAAAACCAGAAAGGTAGTTAGCTTCCAAAATGTTTTTATTTCTTGATGAGGAAATTGAGATGTTTGGAAAGGATTGGAAAAGGCACCAACATTCCACAGAATCTCAGACTGCAGTGCAGGACAAGAGAGCACTTGTGAGTCTCCCGTGTTCTAGATACACAGCTTCGAGCTACCTGCTGTGTATGGTGAGTAAAGTTAGTTACTTATCACTGTCATGTCAGTTATGGATGCAAAAGAGAAAATTAGGTTCAAGTGGAAGAGCAAAGCAAAAGTTGTTCGTGTGTTTATGATGGAATATTGCTTCAGAACTGAACTCATTCCTTTTTGCTCTTTTTCTCAGACCCTTAATTTTTTCAGCATTCTTTTGAAATAGAAGGTTAACACCTTGGTATGGCATTTGTTTTGCAATTAATTGCTTTTATCATTCACTGTATAAAATCTTCTGGGCTCAGGGTGTCTTTGTATACTGTGGAAAGTATAAGATAGGTTCACTGGTTAGATAGTTGCAGTGTGGGGTTTAAGAACACTTAGCCTCTGTAAATGTTAGTTAGTTGTATCAGCTTAATGCTTGATGTTGGGAACTGTTTCTAGTTGTAAGTAGTGAGGGCAGGTTCAGAGGATACTGTGTTCATTTCCGGGATTGAAACTGCCTTAAGGTTCACCATTTGTACATTCCTATGACACTTTAGAACAATAATAGAAACGGTTTTCACATTTTCACTGGTCTTATGGGAATTTGTTTTGCACTAAATTTTTCAGATATGTGACTTTTCATGGCAATTAGGACATCAGACAAATCCCTACTGAATTGCAAAGAAGTTTTGCAGTTCTTGAGTTGTACTCTGTTTCTGATTTTACTTGTGTTACTGTATTACTGTACTCCATGCAAGGAGATTCTGTGGAGAGCTCAAGGAACAGTGGTCTTGGAATTCCAGACCACAGCTGATGATTTATTGTGGACCAAGATCCAGTTTCTTCTAATCAGGGTGCATCTGCTGTTCATGAGCAGCTCAGAGGGGGAGCCATACAGCCGCTTTACATGGGCAAGAAACTCAAGATCCTTAATGCTGTATGAGAGCTGATAACCCTCTCAATCACTGGACATAGAAGCTGCTTTTTGTAAACTAATCCTTTGAACCACAGGACTTCACTGAAAATGCCCACAGCAGCTGTGATTGAATCTGCTTGTGTGTTGGTAGGATGCTGCACAGAACTGTATACTTCTTTCTTAAGTATTATGCACACAGTAGCACTTTTGTTTACTACTGTTACCTATGGTAGTTTTTCAGACTATTCCATGACCTGTAATGATGCGATTTCTGATGAAATTTATCTTTCTTAAAACACCTTTAATTGGATGTTATAATCACTGGAAATGTTTTTATACTCATGTGTTTTCTTTTCATGTACCACTAAAATAAATCCTAGCAGTGAAGTGTTCTACGTGGCCTCTATTAATTTGAGAACAAACACATTGGTTCGGGTGGGGAGGATTAATTCATGCACGGTAACCTTTCTCCAAGAAACTTTGGTCATGTCTAAGGCCCAGATACAACAGTATTTTAGAGTGGAAACACTTCAGTAATAACATGTGGTAGGGCGTTGGACTGCAAAAGAAGGGCAAAGACAAATACTATTTTTCTTTTGGAGAAAGCAGATTCATCTCTTTTTTTATTTTTTTATTTTTTAATTTTTTTTCTGTTTGAGTCCAGTATTAAATGGACTTCTGTTTTGGATTTTCTGTCCCACTTACCCCATTGAGAAGGCTTTTATATTTTCCTTGTAAAAATGCTCAAGCCACTTAAATTGCTTCCTCAGTTTTTAAGAACAAGTTCTTCTAAGTTCACTTTTTCACAGTATGTTTTGTCTTTTTTGTCTTTGTGAAAGATCTGCTACATCGTACGTCGTATTTTAAATTTTGTATGTTTTAGTATGTTTGCTATCGAGTAATTTCCATTTAAGGGTAACATTTCATAATTCCCTGCTGTTAGAGAATTTATTTTAAAATAGGAAATATGTCTACCAAGGAATGTTGTCCAGTGTAGCCTTATTTAACTTCCATATATTTCTGATTCCTAGCTAACCTCAGGATGTGCAGTGTATCACTGCACATAGATAGTACAGCTCTGTGTAAACAGGAAATATTTCTAAGATGGCTTGCGTGTTTGTTAGACCCTAAAAATACGTTCTGATAAAGACTATTGTTTCTACTACCACTACTTCCTTCTCTGCTCTTGGACACTGAGTGACACTCAGATGAACTTGTCTTAATTAATATACTGCAGTGGAAAGGTCAGTTGAACAAAGCTTGTATTAGGTTTTCCTTGAGAGAGGAAACAATACCTTTTTTGAGAACTCTGCATTACGAACAGGAGTATTTCCGATGGCCCTATGTGTCCTTGGATATAGGGATTTGCTATATGAAAGTGATGGAAATGAACCAATTTCTTTTGTGATAACAAGATTCAGAGATCACGGAAAGTTACTGGTACTGCATTAAGCAGATAATATGCTAGTTGCCTTATACCTGTTTTTTTCTTTATATCAATCTTGAAAGAGAATGGAGAAGAACAGTTTTGTGTAAAGATGGAAGTGTTTGAGGCCAGTTGTCTGTATGCACAGCTTGCTTTCTCTTATCTTGAAGTCTCTCTCTTCAGGCACAAGTTCAGACATTAGAGTTGTGTGGTATACAGTAGTGCAGAGTAAGCTATTCTTTGTGTGGCTGCTTTGGTCATCCAAGGCAACGGCGCTCGCCACCTGATAAATCTGTGCAGCACGCATGGAGTTACTCTGGCAACTGCTCTGCTCAGGAGCTGTACTGAACTTGCCTGTTTGATTGCTTCAACTTAAGAAAGGTCGTGGATCTGTGTGTTTACATCGCACCTCCCTGTGTAGATGACAGTGGAACTGTCATCTTCTGTTTACAAGGTCTCTGCAATTAAAAGTAAGAACATCTCGTATGTGCAATCTAGAAAGTAGCAAGATGACTTGTGTGGGAGCTTTTGAAGCACAGGCTGGAAGAATCATTGGAGGAAAACAGTGAAGTCAGGGGAAGTGTGAATTCTGGGAACGCAAACTGGTGAGAGGAAATGCAGAGGTGTGGGAAAAAATCAGAAAATAAGAATTTACTAGCACCACAAGAGGAAGAAAAATATAATAGAAGACATTTTAGCTTGTTAACCATACTTTGAAACTGACAGTTACCAAATACAGACATCAGCCCTAGTAGGAATGTTTCAGCATCATTTATCAAATACGAGCTTTACTGTCACTGTGGTTTTAAAGTGTAGTGCTTGGTCTCAGCAGAGACCATGCTGTGTTCCTCTCTTCCCTCTTCCATTTTGTTCTCTGTTTTACATATATTTTTTTGCTTCAGCCTCTTTCTACTTTCTGTATCTTTTTCTTTTCTTCCTCTTGTTCTCGCTTGTAGCCCATTTGGAGAAGTATTTTGCATGTAATTCTGGTATCTGCATCACAGAAATCATTCCAGTTAAACAGCCCTCGTGTTCTAGACTACTAATCTTTGTAATTTCTCTATATAGGAAGGGTACATAAGATACAATAGGTATTGGTCCATATTACTGAGTAGGGCAGTTTTGTTTGGGGAAGTGACAGTGATGGTTTTTTTTTAAATGTGATAAAATCTCTTTTTCAGTAGAATCCTATATTGGGAAGTAAGTGGTCAGGAAAACAATTGTTGGACTGGAACAATCTTGTATGTAACAGCTAAGGGAAACATAAGAATAATTCCAGATATGAAATGCAGAACAGTGATAGACCATTTCAGTTACTGAACAGAATGGTGTTCTCTG